TGTTTGACATCTACTTTCTGGTGTACAGTGTCCAACATGGCGGGCCACAGACTCGGTGTTCTGCTATGGATCTCTGTGTGTGTGTGCTGGACATACACTGTTGTATAGTCTCAATGTATGACCTACTTCCTGGTGTACAGTGTCCAACATGGCGGGCCACAGACTCGGAGTTCTGCTATGGATCTGTGTCTGTGTGCTGGACGGTGTAGCAGGTAGGTGCTAAACAATATGAAAGAATGGTTCATGAAAGATGAAGGGAAACACTGATAACAATATGTCTGGATTATTACTTTGGTATAACTTTTGTCTCCATTTAATAGGTTATTTGGAAACTTGAAACAGTTATATTAGTACACTTGTCCTAGGGGGCAGTCGTCCGGGGGGCACAATGGACGGGGGACAGATAGCCAGGGGGGCAGTTGTCGGGGGGCAGTTAGCCTGATACCCCCACAATGTATGGACGTATGGCTTGGTGCAAAATGAATACATTCAGGCGGAAAAGGACTGCAGTTTCATTGTAGAGCTATGTCCCCTTCAGACAGCCGATTATCATATATACCGAGTCGATTTAGCATTTCACGTGTTATTTAAATTGGGACTACGTCATTCGATGTAAAGTCGCACTTCTTTGAGGGTTACGCCTGAATGTATTAAGACCAGCAGCGCTGAATTGCTTTATGAAAAGTTCAGAAAGCTGTGTTTTAAGAATGGTTACATGTCACTACTCTCTGTTGTAACCAGTGGATAACCAAACTAGGCCTGTGTGTGTAGCTTGGCCTCCGTTGCCGATAAGTCAATATTATCAACACTGAAGTCACTAAATTGTAAATGGCGAGGGATTATCACACCAAAATTTGTACTGAAAGAAAACATATCACGCTTTACATACTAAAGCAAAAGTAATGTAAGTCCCCTGGTTCCTAGTATGGTGATCTACCTTCAGTTGTTGGCGATATATATCCCGTGTTTTATATTGTATTGTCTTCTTTAATTATTTTTTTTAGTTTGACATGCTAGTTTTATGTTCATATATATGATATTCTAGTATTTTTACTGTCCATCGTCGATAGGTTTTACTCTCCAAAATGTTTTCATTTATTATTGTATAAATTGTTTTCGTCACGATATGGCTGAGCTATGGCCGATGTGACGTTAAATATTAACTCACTCGTCTGAACCTCTATATTACTTATCCCAATGTATACTCAAAATCAAATCAAATCATTAGAGAAATGGACATAATAAACGGATCAAACACATTTTTGTGTACAATATCCTGACACATCCATGAATAACTGAGCACAATTTCAAGACATGACGTGAACGTTTGCAGTCCATTCAGACTCTTGACTTCAGTATCTAGTGTGACCACCACGAGCGGCAATAATTGAAGTACAGTGCACCAATCGATTGATGAAATCCATTGACACCTAGAACCACACCTTGAGAAAGGCCTGGCGCAATAAACCGGCTGTGTTCGGCCTTGGTATGACATTATTCAGTCTCCTCTGAATTTCATCCCAAAGATGTTAACTTGGGTTTAAATCAAGACTAAGGGCTGGCCACTGCATACTGTTGACACCGTTCTGCTGTAAGTAGCCCCGTGTAGCTCTGGCAGTATGGGCCCAGGCGTTATCATGTTGGGAAGTCTGAGAGCTTGGTCGATGTAGCGCACCGCTGTGAAGCCGCCTCCTCTCCCTGGACCGAGGTTCTGGAACACCACAGGGCCCACTCTTTGGTTCAGGCCTATTCCACCCCATGCCATGATGCTTGCATCTCCCCATGAGTCTCTTTCCATAACACATCGGTCTGAATAACGCTGGCTACGTCGTCGCCATATTCTTGTTTTGCCATCTGCAGTTGGTACGTAGTACCGACTCTCATCTGTGAACAGAACAGTTCTTCATTGCCTGTATCGCCAGTTTTGGTGTTGATGGGCAAATTGTAGACGTTCACGCCGATGAGGCGTGAGCATAGGCCCACGGTAAGGTCTACGGCAATGGAAGTTCCCGCTGTTAAGACGTCGGCGTACTGTATCAGTGTTGATTGGTCTTCCGTGTGTTCCCACTGTCTGGCGTGCTGTTTCGGATGCCTGCATGAAGGGATTCTGTACATGCTGTCGCACAACATGGCGGTCTTGTCGTCTTGTGGTCACCCTTGGTCTGCCAGTACAGGAGCGATCATTTGTGGTGTTGGTGGCCCGGAAACGGTGCTGCAGCCTGTAGATGGTCCGAACGTTGACCTGGAGGTGATTGGCAACGGCTTGTGCAGTGTGGCCAGCTTCAAGTCTTCCTAGCGCCTGGTTCCTCTGAGCTGTCGTGAGTTGCGGCATCCTGCTGACGTTGTAATGTGAATGTTTCAACTAGGTTTGGGGGTGCATTTTATAGGGTTGGTCCTTGTGAACAGCACGTGCAGCATGAGTTGCATGAAAAAACATGGAGAACATCGTACCATGTCCGAGATCAGGTTGCGTTTTTGAGACTATTTCCTGGGTTCCATTCTGATTTGGGAAGTAATGCCTTTGTTCAGCTAAAGTTGGAGATGTTGTCAAAAATATACAATCAAAACATTATATGAGTTTAGAGTTATCCGTTTCTGCGAAGGAAACTTCCAAACTGACGGGGTTTTTTGCTGCTTAGTACATAATAAGGAAATAAAATAGCCATCTGTTGTTAAACAAAACTTCACTGCTTGTTCAAACGTATCACTGTATTGGGCGCTTATCTGTATGATCTATTTTTGAAACCTACAAATAGCCTCGAAATAGTGAAAAAAAACAACGTATATTGTATTAACGTATTTGCCTTCACTCAATTCAGAAGCACAGGTTGTGCATGTGAAATGAAAGTGTATTTTGTCACAGGAAATGACATTCAAATAAACACCTTCCTCTGATCATACCAAGTGTTAGGAAAAACAGTGACTGACTTAAAACAAACAAATCCCTCTGTCAGAAACAGAACTAAATAACAACCTATATGATCGGGAATCCAGTTTTGCTCCTTTCGCATTTCACGTGGCTGTGGCTTGCATCCAAGAGTGATGTGTTTATAATCCGCGACTAACTACCTGAATCAGGCACATTAGGCAAAATTAGCCTTTATCCACATATCGTGGAAAGACAAACTAATATGTCCAGATAGTGGCCCTGCTCCAGGAAATGGTGGCCGCCAGGTATCATGCAGCTAAAGGGAACTGTGTGAGTAATAAATATCAGTCATCTCAGACACTGCTCTCGTAAAGACCCGTTCGCTCGTCACGCCGAAGACCCGGGTTCGATTTCCCACTTGGGTACAATATGTGAAGCCCATTTCTGGTGTCCCCCCGCCGTGATATTGCTGGAATATTGCTAAAAGCGGCGTAAAACCAAAACTCACTCACTCATTACTAAAGTCCTTTATAGTTTCCACTTCAAGTTCATGTGACCAGGACGATTTTATTTCTGTCATGTGTAATGTCCATACATTATGAAGGTATCACCACTGTAGTGTGATACACGTTATTGAATAACGGCTAAATACTTGCTGAATTCTACTAACTTTCGTCACGTGACGATATGGCTGAAATATTACCGATGTGACGTAAAATGTTTACTCACTCACTCAGGCTGAATGCCACTAGGTGAACACAACAAAGTCATACTGCTAAAACTAGGTTATCCCATTTAAATGGAATAGTGTTTGTAGTTTATTGAAGTTACAAATAATCCAATTTGGGATTTGTATGGATATACTTTAGAAAATAGAACAAAGTAAGGTTATAGATGAGGATATGCATATGTTCGTTAGATTAAGCTGGCAGACGAGTGCACATACAGGGATACAATTGTTTTCGGTTTCTGTCGCTAAGTACTCTTTAATGTATCTATCCTTGTCAGTTCATGTTCAACATTTGCAGAGAGAACAACCACCTGAGATTGCTGGTCATGCAGAGGTAAAGTGTACCCAATGTTGTGGTGACGTCAGAGAACTCCACCCTGTCCCGGGAACTGACATGTAGCCATGTACATGATCACACAAACTTAGTCTTCTGGCTGTATTGTGAAGTTTCCGAAATTACTCGCTAGATGTCGTGATCGGACAAAAGTATTGATACCCATGCGGGCAATAGTATATCAACGCTATGAATTAGTTCATTATACGTTAAAATGAATTGCAATCTTTATACGCTAAATGAATTTGGATAATATTGCTCGTACGTAAACCTTGATAAATATGCAAAACAAAAAAAAGTATTTGGAGATAAAAAACATATTGTCGAAAGCTCATGGGTGAAATTGTGTAAATCACGAAGCATTTGTTCTTCAGTTTTTTTCTTCCTAAATGTATAGCAATCTCAACAGCATGCTGTCCACCGCTTGGACAATGCCATAACAGAATTAAAACGGTACTTGTTTCATGCATCAGACTTTTTTAAGCGTCAACATCTTAACTTGCTCTGTTTGAATTCTATGGAGGATAACATGACATTGTCTATGCGTTTGCTTTCATCAACTGTCAGGTGTGAGGAAAAATATTATTTAGAAATCACTTCTGCTACAGGCAGCTGTCCAGCAGGTAGATACGGCTACAGATGCACCTACCAGTGTCACTGTCTGTTGTTGATGCAGATCATTCACATATATAATCTATTACAGGCAGTTTCCCAGCAGGTAGATACTGCTACAGGTGCAGCTACCAGTGTCACTGTCTGTTGTTGATGTAGATCATTCACATATATAATCTATTACAGGCAGCTGCCCAGCAGGTAGATACGGCTACAGGTGCAGCTAGCAGTGTCACTGTCTGTTGTTGATGCAGATCATTCACATATATAATCTATTACAGGCAGTTTCCCAGCAGGTAGATACGGCTACAGGTGCACCTACCAGTGTCACTGTCTGTTGTTGATGCAGATCATTCACATATATAATCTATTACAGGCAGCTGCCCAGCAGGTAGATACGGCTACAGGTGCAGCTAGCAGTGTCACTGTCTGTTGTTGATGCAGATCATTCACATATATCATCTATTACAGGCAGCTGCCCAGCAGGTAGATACGGCTACAGGTGCAGCTACCAGTGTCACTGTCCACAGGTGTATTGTAACCCTACTTCCGGTTGTCAGCCTGCAAGTTGTTCCAGGGGATGGTCCGGACCGACTTGTCAGAAAGGTTTGCATGAGATGTTCATTGATTCACTGAGGTTATCACAATGTAAGGGCTCTAACACCGCACATGAAATACATTCGTCAAGAATTTGTGTTCATACAATGAACGCTCGGTATGACATATTATCCGTATATACATATGTGCATAAAATAAGCACCACCCTGTATATAAACCAATTAATTTTGTCTGAAATGTAATTCTAAACTCTTTCCAAAAAATAACCTTTATAATTTGATATAGCAAGTATTTAACATTTCAAAAACTAAACATCATTGAAATTACCAATGGCATGTATTTTAATTATGATAATTGCCTATATTTAAAACACGTGTTTTTCTGTCCTGAAACAAGTTACCTTACTGTGAAAAGTAATAATTGATTGTTGTGAGGCCAATAAATTCGTTATTTATTGTGGATGGATGAACGTTTGTAAAATAAGATTTAGGACAGTCAAACTAAAAAAAGAACACTAAAATGCAATAAAAGTCGCTTTACAAACAAAACAAACACAATTTAGATGTAACTATCAGTATCCGGCACGGAGAAGTGTTTACTCATTACAAAAAACTCAAAATTATAAAAATAAGTATTACAAAATCCCTCTTATCAATGTGGCTTTTTCAGTTTTTGTCAATTAGCAATCTGAATTGTTGGAGTAATGTCTGAATCTTTGACATTCGGGTTCTTCCTGATTATGCATAATTAAAGCTTACTTGATGTGTAAATGTCATCTTGGTATATAACAGAATTGTTATTTTTAGTCAAAACTTTATTTAATTGTGTAGTTTGAGCAGGAGAGGAATAGTTATTTTCATCAACACATTCTTTCAAAAAGAATAGAAAAAGTTATGGTATTTGTAAAACTGTCAGTGGATAAAGCTTCTTTAACTACATGTTGATTAAATTGATGGCTATACCCTAACTTTTCTGTAGCATCACATCTTAATTTCAAAATAGGGTGGTGCTTAATTAATGCACAGGTATAATCATTGTCACGTTTTGGCTCCTCTCTGCTTGCATGACAGGTGCTACATACACATCACTCTTTTCACTTGTCACAGAAAATATAGCCCTGAACAAGAATACATCGGCCAGTAGTGTCTTTCAGCCATCATCAAATGCCGTGGATGGAGACACGAGAGGAATCTATCTTGGGAGAAGTTGTTTTCATTCTGCTTACAATAGACCCACTATAACATCTGCCTGGTGGAGGGTGGATCTGGGACAGAAAACACTGATGCATGACGTTATCATCTACTTCAGAACTGACAGTGAGTAAAGTATTTCGACCAGTATATCTTATAAATATAGTGACAAACTCAATGGCAAAAGAAACGCCACCAACTTTTCAACGCATTGTAACGTTATATAGTAAAGAATCTGTCAATAACAGTAGTAGTAGAGTGGGTTTTTTACATCAGATGCGGCTTAGAGGCTTATTTTTATTAAAAAAATAACGAGAACCATCCATCGATGTGCAAGTTCAAATATAAAAATGTCAAAAGCCCTCTGTGGCAACAACCCACGGAGGGAGAAATTGGTGTTTTGTCCAGAGACCCGCCTGGTCCCTGGTCTGATGATGTTTGTGGTGCGCTGGTATTTCTCCTGAAGTGTTGTGGTCGACTGCGCTCGACCTGAGAGCTCCGTGTCTTATTTTCGAACGGTAGGCTTCGAACCTCGGTCACAGAGTTGCGCATCTCTGGACCTTGATCGTACCCAGCAGTCGTTCAACTGAGCCACAGAGGACCTGATAGCCGAGTGCCCAGTTTAACGGGTTTATCCTGAGATTGCATCATCCTCTTAAACCGGGCTCCGTCTATAGTAGCGCAAAGGATGTCTGAAACCCATCATTTCACTTCCGCTTCAATACTTTGTGCACGTTTGGTGGCTTTTTCACCTCAAATCCATGTCTCATAAAATACAAACACGATGCCCTTAGGTAGTTTGAAGAACGCTGAATACGATACATTAGTCGACGAACGCTGAAAAATTGAGGCCACAATCCATTATTTATATTGAGCTGGGCTCCGTCTATACTAGCAACAGTAGCGCAGAACCAGTCTCGCTCGCCTCGTGCACGTTTTGTGGCATTTCACCTCGAATCAAGGTGTAATAAAATACAATCACGATGCTGTTAGGTAGTCTAGATTACGCTGATCACGATGCATGCATCGATGGACGCTGAAAACATGTTTAGAAGCCACAATCGGCTAATTTAGAATCGGGTTACATAAGCTCGCAAAGCGTATGACCTATATATTGCTTGAATGCACTGTCACTGACAGAGTGAGACCGCCAATATAAAGGGAATGTGCTGGACTTTGTATCTAGAGTTTAAGCGTTCGAATCCCAGACAGAACATTTATTTGTTTGTTTTTGGTTCTCTAAATGGAACGTGCCAGACCTCGGACATAGAGTTTTAGCGTTCGAATCCAAGACAGAATTTTTTAAAATTTTTAATAAGAAGGTGGTAATACCGTCTCGTGAGTGACAATTTGTAATTCCTATCGGACGAATCCCCTACCCAGTCCGTCTTGCAAGTAATACAGATTTGGTTTGTCATCTTTCCACTCGGTTGACGTTGTACGTTTTCATGGACCATACGGGGTCTGTGGGGCGACGTTTATAGCCACCTTCGAGTTCACCGGGCTGGTACAGATACCTCACAACGACCCTGACGCAATGGTGCAGCCGATTTGGTCGTCACAGATTTCATTCGAATGTCTTCGACGGGTCTTTTATCGAGTGACTTCGTCGTTGATCACCAACACCACTCGCGGTAACCATACCACCCATTCCTTTGATCGTTTTTCTGGGTTGACCATCTCTCGCGCATACTGATGTCCGAACAAACGCTCGGCTAAAGACCTATTGAATCTTTCAACGATGGCTTGGCTTCGGTGAGCTCCAGCCACGCCTCGTCTCACCTGGATTTTTGCTTCGATAAAAGCTGCGGCAAGACTCCCATGAACTCGCGTCCGGGATCGACTTGTAATTCGGTAAGCCAGGTCAAGCGACTGCGTTTGTAGATGCGTTCTAAGGCCTTAGCGACTTGACTCGAATCTTTGGTCGTTAACGGCTCCGCTTCCTTGTAGCGACTGGCAACGTCCACGACGGTCAGGGCGTACTTGTTCGTTTTGTTTCTCACCCTGTCGTGTGGGAGAAACAGGAGGTCGGTTGATGGGTATGATTGGGTATGGAAATGTCAAATTTTCTTCTCGGGATGTATCGGGGAGCCGGTAGGTACACTTGCCAGATGGATTGTTTTTTAAGCCAAGCTTTGACGGTATCCTCGGAGACACGAGCAGCTTTGGCTAGCTTCGGGATGGCGCTCACACCTTTCCAGTAACCCCGCTGTAGTAAACCTTCTCCATGATGTATACATGCTATCGTTCATTCAATTGTCTTGAGGCATCGAGTGGAGTTTCCTTTATTGGGGGTCTCGGAAACTCCCAACACGTCGAGACCTACTGTTGGTACCCATAGCTATAAGTGTGGATGCCATCGTTTGCAATCCATCATTTGGTATCCAGGGGCGACAGGGACGTCTTGTTGAGAGTGATGCCGTAGATGTTGTGTTTGTCGCTTCTCAACGCGTTCATGTTTGATCGTGGGTTTATCAAAGAGAGCCTGTTTGAAGAGGGTGTGTTTGATGTGGTGCTTCACCACGTATTTCTTGACCCCTTTCGCCTTTCGGATTTTGCCGTGATCGGCTTTTTGAATCGAATACATTTTAGGTTTTAACCCAACATATTCCGCGATGGGTGTCCCCGCGCATTCGTCCTTCATCTTGCCGAGGACGTTTTTATTGGTCGTGCTGTGTAAGGCGTCGTCGTCCTCGGTACGAATTTCCATGAGCACTGAATCCGTGTCCGTGTACAGCACTTAACATCGATTGCCGTATTGATGTTTTAACTCGTTGTAGTAGAAATTGTACATGAGATGTTTGGAGAGGTCGAGAATGCTCATCCCCACGTAGAGGGGTCGGTTGACCTCGATGTGGTTTTTGTTCATGTGCAGCGCCTCCAAGTCATTATCAAATAGCTTGCTTCGATTGAAGGGCGGGTTGGCTATGAGTTTCCAGAGTTTTTCTTCCTCATGAGATTGTACGAGTTTGACCGTCACCCGTTTTCTCAAGTTTTCCATGGTTTTGCTGAACACAATATTTGTTCATCAGTTTGTAGTGGTTTTTCTCGAAGTTGCTGTTGGCCTTTTTTTCGCAGCACGGTGTTCAGCCGAATGTAATGTTCCATCCAGGGACTTTGATCGAATTGCAGCACCCGATGTATTTTAGTCGGCTTCATTCCCAACAAGTACAGTTGCAGATTCCGATAGTGCACACGTCAAGTCGGCTAGCAGCAGGACATCCGTTTTCAAGTAGAGGTAGTGATAATCTCCCAAATGTCAACAGCCCAGTTTCTCCCACACGTTCTGGGGGTGGTCGTAATCGTCGTGGCAGATGGTGGAGTCGGGTCTCGTCGAACTTGGGCCAATCGTCCATGTGCTCGTACGGGTACACGCCCTTCCGTAGCAGCAGATCTCGAGTCGCCGCGTGGGTGTATCGATTGGTGATGGCGAAGGTATCGTTGGTATCGAAGGTATCGATTCTAAGCTGGAGTTTGGACGCGTTATGGGGGCACCTCGGTATTGACCGGTGATGTGGCAATGATCTCTCACGACACCCCCATTCAGGGGTTGGTCGCACACATAGTAATGCTTAACCTTTTCGTGAGCGAGTATATCCTCCGGCGTCATATCCATAAGAGCAGGGTCCAACAAAGTTTCCCTGATCTTTTCCTCTTCGCGTTGTAAGAACGTGAGAAACGTTTCGGCCGCGTCGGGACCTCGGTAGATCATGGGAGTATTCGTTCGTCAGTCGCATCGGACTACCATGTACCCAAACCTGCAGGCTCGGTGGTCTTGCATTTTGTACGTGAAACTGTGATTCGTGTCTGGCGTCATATCGTGGCCGACAGGTTTGATGAGTGCTTCGAAGTCACCGTAAATAACGTAGGGCACGGGCATTTGGTGTTTGCAATTCATGAACGTTAAGCTGTTTTGATGTTCTCAAAGCATGTCGATTCGGACGGACGTCTCACCCTCACCTCGGCAATCCCCCCGGTGCGCTTCCAGTAGGGTTGCTCGCGTGAAGCTGTGCAGACATCATTTGCAGAAGTGTTTCTTTTCTCTATGCGTCGATTGATTGTACAACAGTCTGCTCAGACTTTCAATATGTGTATACTGATACTTACCCTCTTTTTCGGTCATAAATAAATTGATTCTGCGCACATCATCGGGCATGGAGCTAAATCGGTGTACGATGGTTGTATTGCCTTCGTGAACCGAAGACGTTGATGGCTAAATTGTTTAGTTTTTCAAATCGGGTCCAGGAGGAAATGGGTGTGGGTTTAACTAAGCCATCCCGGTTTTTTAAGCCCGTCTTTTTCGGGATAGCTCGAAGGTATATTCTCATTAATAGCTACTGGAAATAAGCCAGCTCTCACCGAATATACTTCACAAGCATCGTCTTTATTTTTAATGTTATTAATGGCTTTTTTATTTCTGTAGTAAGGTGGCAAGTCTAGGAAAGTTCCGCCTCTGAATGGCACGTAGTTCGCTATATCCAAATTGATGGTGTTGATACTTCCCACCACTGACCCGGAGCCCCTGTGCGTCCATCGTTCCAACGATTCTTGTATTTTTTGTAGCGAGGTATCGAGGGTCGAAGGGATCAAGTCGGATTGAAGTACGACTTCCTGCTTGCCTCTGAACTAAGGCTCGATGGACTCGGTACTGCCATCCGTCTGCTGTTTGTGGAGCAACATGTGGATGGTCAACTGGTATTTGATACTTTTTAAATCATCCAACTCTTCTTCGACTTTGTCGGCGATCAGAGATTTGACGCTGTTGACGTTGATGTTAGACTGCACAGTTATTTTCCAGTCTCTCAGATACTTACCCACGGCATGGTCCTTCGGCACGAATTTCAACTTGACCGGCTCGGCGTCTTCCAGTAAGATGGCCAGTTGGGCTTTCCTCATGCGAAAATAAACCTTCAAACCCCATTCTTTAGGTCGGAGTTTGAGGTCTCACACGGTAAGCGGCTTGACATACTTCATGTCGAGCAAGGTGAGCAGCTGGGGTTGTCTCATGCGAGAATAACCCCCCAATCCACGTTTATTCGCCATCGCTCTGAGTTCGCCGACGGTCGTCATGATTGCTATGAGAATGTGCGAAAACTTTCTTTAAAAAATAAATAATTATATTCAAG